AGGGTTGCGATCTGTTGCCTGTCACAAAAAAAGACAAAAAGGAAAAAAAAAAAAAAAAAAAAAGCAAGCTGCAGAACATGTACATATATAGGATAATCCATTAGTTTTTTTTTTAAGGTATAATATATGTAAGCCTTTGTATGTGCTAAAAGGCATACAGAAAATTGTGGAATGCACAGGAACATAAGAGTGAAATGAGAAGGCTAAAGAGTCTTTACTTTTCACTTTCTGTACTATCTGAAATTTTTTACCATAAACTTTCATTACTTTTATAATCTAGTTACTATGTTTTTAAAAAGATTTAAATTTGACCTAGAGTTTTGTTAACCTTCAAAATTAACAAAATCTTCTCTTTGAGCCCTGTGGCCCACTCCCTCCTTCATCATAACATCCTGAAGGAAGTAAAAATGCCCAGCTTCCCAACACATTAGATTTCCACTGACCTTTAGTAAACACTTCCAGAGCATGCCATGCAAGTATCAGAAACTTAGATACCCGATTTGTCCCTGGCTCAGCTCTTCTCCCCAATTCTGCCTTAGAATCAGCATTTTGTGAGACCTATACTGTTCTAAGACTTTCTGCCTTAAGTGTACACTTCAGCCCAGTTAAATGGAACAAATGACTGTGACAGCAGTGCAGTGACTGCTGATGTGCACTGAGGAGTACAGAAAGTGAAAACTTCCATTTCTCCTGAAATAACTGTAATCAAGCTCTAAAGCATGAGTATAAGAACTATAACCAGAGTCTCCATAGTCAAGTCCCTGTTACTGAGTCCTTTGCATAGCACATTATGACAAAATGGGGTTTTCCAGTAATGATCTTTATTGAAGGAGCAGTATCACTTGGCTGGTTCTAAAGATACGGTTGATGAGAAAAGTTTAGGCAAAAGTCAATTTGTAGAATTTCTCTGTCTCAAGGCATGATTGTTTGAGTAGTGAAAAGCACAGGGTAAAAAGGATAATTAACTTACTATAGTCAGTGCTTATACATCTTTATTCCTGCTAAAAGAGATTGCATTTTTATATCAGCCTGTCCTAAGTTCAGTTACATATAAATGCAATTCAGTAATTAAACTGAATTAAATATCAGAGTTACGACTCAAAGACTTTGTGACTGAGAAAATTAGATGTTCTTGTTATTTGAAGACAGGAGCACTATTTCAGAGATCTAAAAAGCTCAGAAGGAAAATGAGAAAATATAATGTTGACCCTTGGTGGGGCATGAGGGGGAAAGAGCATTAAGTTTATATGAATTTGCCTGAAGTACTTGCCATTGTGTGTAAACAAAGGGACAAGGACACATAGAGATGAGTCCTGTCCACTAAGTTTGATTTGCTTTACAGAGAGCAAGCACTGAGATTCTGAAAGGCTTTTTTGGCATGTGGAAAATAGTAGTCATTTGTAAATTAATGTGGGAAGCCGTGTGAGTTCTGATAACCTTAACAAGTAATTGATCTGTGGAGATAAAAACTATCTCCACTTAATAGATAGGGAAACGGAGTCCAAGGAGATGAAGGATTATGCCCCAGTCACATAGTAAGTGATTATGCCAGATTTTAGACCTGTGCGTTCCTGTTTGAGAGCCCCAGTTAGTGCCTTTCTGCCCTAGCATCGCTCAAGAATATGTACAAGAATGCTAGTGGCAGTTTATGAAACTGAAATGTCATTAACAACCTATCTTACTGTTGTAATCCTCTGTTGAGGGTTTGTTAAATATGTTGTGGAACACCTATACCTTAGAACACTTTGCAGTTAAAAATGTTCATGTAGGGGCCGGCCCGGTGGCGCACTGGATAGTGCGCCGCTTGGGAAGCGCGGCGGCGCTCCCGCCCGGG